TAGTTTTAGCTCCATGGTGTCCACTGGAGTGGCTAATTGTGACTAGCCCATAGTGCCATCCATTTATGGGATAGATCAACAAGCTTGGTCTCTGACTGGATACCTACACCACATTCATCTTCACCTGCTCTTGGTGGCCTTTCCAGATGTTTCTGGGTTCGGGATGCTGGGACAAGAGGTAAGGGCTATTTGTAAGCTATCTTGGTGCCCTTTCATCTACCTGTTTTGGGGGGTGGGGTGTATAGACACAGAGGGTTGAACTGTGTACTGGGGTCTTTAGTGCCACAAAGCTCTGTGGAACAATTTCCCAAAGTGACTTGACAGGCCTACACTCAGTGATCGGCAGTCTCTGCTTCTAGCACAACATCAGTATTTCTTTTTGCCAGTTGTGCGGCCCAGTGCTGGTCACCAGCTGTAGCCTTAACCACATCTCCCTGACACCGTGAGCCTGGCACTGTTCTCTGGAAGTGCAAGTTCCAACGCTGTGCCTGATGCTCTGTCTGGTCACCTGTTCCTCTATAAGTGATCTTCAGGTGCTCTTTACATACATGACCCTGAAGCATGCCAATTCTGACGCTGTGGTTACCTTCTTCTTCTGTTCTGTGCCTTGACGCCATGTCTGCAGGCTTTTCCTCCCTCCCTCTCTCCCTCCCTCAGCAAACCCTCATTAAGCATGTCACCCCAGTGCTCAGTGCAGGCAGACAGAGTGGACATGTGAAACAGCCCTGGCCCTCTTCAGCTCCCCACAGGATGGAGGCCACTCAGGCGTCACGGGGAAGCCCAGCCACTACCCCATAGAGGATCCACAGAAGGAGTGAGAGCAGGAAGATGTCACACAGAAAAGTTGGGGATATTTTACCACAGGACAGCTGCAGGACATAAAGCCAGAGGCAGAGTGAGGGGGTGCGGCTCAAGGCTCTGTAGTTCCAGATGCCCTTGGTACTGTGGAGCGATCAATTGCCCCACCCCCCTCAGCTCCTTGGGAGGCACTAAACTCACAGCACCCACTTGGCATTTAGTTCTTGGGGACAAGAAACAAAGACACCCCCATGTGTACCTCTGTCTTGGTCAGTCCTCGGAATGCCTGCTGAAGAAAAACTCAAGGCTGTGGTTCCACAGCACAAGGTCGCCATGGGAGTCTCTGGCTATACCTCTGCCCTTTTGTGACGCTAACGTGGCTCCTGGACAATGTAGGACAGTGATGACAGGGAAGACAAGAAGAGGAGGGATGCACGTAAGCAGATGACAGAGGCCATGGACAGCTCTGCCTGGCCCCTCATCTAGAGACGAGGAAGGGAAGGGAAGTCAAAGGGTGGGGGGGAGCAGAATGGAAGGAAAGAAAAGGGCCTTGACCTCGAGTGTCGTGAATGGTGTACACAGCACAGACCCCTCTCCGGCAGCGTGCAGTGAGCAGCCTCCCCCCCCCCCCCCGAGAAATTAAAACACTGGCACAGAGAGCTTCGGGTCAGAATATCGCCTGCCCTGTATGCCTCATAGCCCCGCCCCCATTCCTGGACCCAGACACCAATAAGGATAAGAACCAAACACTGCCTATCTGGAGGGGCAGACAACACGTGGGAGCTGGCGTCTGGAGGACTGATACTAATTAGGAGGGAGAGCCAGCCAGGAACCTGAGGGTCTGTGAGCCAGACCTGCAAAACGCGGAACCACTCGTTCCCAGATGCTGCCCTGCCACATGTCCCCTCGCTGTTCAGTACCCAGCCACATGCCTCACCCAATTGGCCTCTGCACTCATGCCTGGAGAATGGCCCTGACACCTCCACCCTGCCAGCACCAGCTGGTTACAAGGCCAGAGCCAGCACCAAAGGGGTAAGGACCTCTGTGAGGGCTGCTGGGATAGCATCCTCCCAGGGGTGCCCAGGAAATGCTCCTGGGCCAAAGTTCCTCCTAGGGCAGCAGCTGAGTAAACCAACCCCTTTCCAACCTTGTCCAAACCTGTCTCCACCAAACTTGATAAATCAGAGCCAATGGCAGGATGGGAAGTTGCTAAGGGAGAGCTGGAAATGGATTCATAGTTGAACAGTTAACAGCACGATTCCTTGGAGGCTGAGAAACAGGAGGTTACATCTGGGGATAGGGAGAAGGACCCTTCGGAGAGGAGCTGATTGAAGCAGCTAGTCCTGGGGAGTTACTGAACTTCCAGTAGCCTTAGAGATATGATACTATGTATCCCAAGTTGGCCTCCAATTTGCTATGTATCCAAGATGGTCTGAACTTCTGATGCCCTTGTTTCCACTTCCAAAGTGCTATGATTGCAGGTATGGGCCACCGTGCCTGGCGTACACAGTGCTGGAGACTAAACCCAGGCCCCTGTGCATGTTAAGGAGGCACTCTACCAACTGAGCTATATCTCCAGTCCTACATAGCAAGTTCAAGGCCAGTCTGGGATACATGAGATCATCATCCATAGCTTTCATCCCTTTCCCATTCCCCATTTTCTCCTGGAGTTCCAGGAAGTTGGGAGACCTCAGAGAAAATTACCATCCCAACACTTCCTGGGGCACATGGAGTTTCCCATTCCTGTGGACCTGTCTCATCCTCATGTCTACACCAGCCTCATGGATTGAAGGTGTAGTCAGAGTCCTTAGTAGACTGAGGACCTCCTCAGAAGCCAGTGGCCATGCAGGTGTGGGAAAGCACCTGGGATGGCCAAAGGCATCCTGACAGCCACCCTTAACTTGGATACAAAGCCATCTCTTTTCATCTGTGTGCTCAGAAATGACCCTCTGCCCACAAAGATCTGGAAGTCTTGGCTAGTGCAATGCATTGAGATCGAAAACACACCTGTAGTCACATGGCATCTTACACCAGCATGTATGTTTCAACTCTGTAACAGGTTCACTCTCGATCCTCGATGCTGGCAACACCTTTTCCCCCAGCACTTACGTGATTTTCCTATGTCAATCACTCAGTTAACCACAAGGAACATCTTAATAAATTCTAAAAAAGGAAAAACTCAGAATTTTTTCATGTGAATGCCATCATAGTGCATAAATTATTTCATTTTTTTTTGTTTCATTTCTAGGCACTATATTTTCATCCTGGACATTAGTGTGTGGGAGCCTGAGGAGAGGGTAGATTGAGGTTAGGAAAAGAAAGTAGTCTAGGGCACTATTCAAAAACACAACCCACTTAGGCTGCAAGATAATGTGTAGCACACGTGACTATATATCTTGTACGTCTCAATTTGTAAAGCAGATTCTAAAACACCCCACTCCCAAAGTAGACTTTGGGAAATACATTTTGAACGATAGTTAAAATTTTAAAATAGCAAATACTTCCTTAGATGTTTGTTCAAAAGAACCCTAGGGTGGCTAGGGATGTGGTCCAGTTTGTAAATCACTTGCCTAGCTAACCCTGGTTCCAATCCCCAGCACTGTCGAAAACCAGGGCCTGGGGCACGCTTGTGATGCCATCACTTAGGAGTTGGAGGCAGGAAGATTAGAAATTCAAGATCATCATTGGGTACGCAGTGAGTTCCAGGGCAGCCCGGGTTACACAAAGCCCTTTCCCAGAACAACAACAAGAAGCAAGCAAAGGAAAAGAACTATATAATCTCTAAATCAAAGGATCAATTACAGTGATAATCACAGCTCCTTGGAAAACGGGAGCAACGAGAATACTAAGTAAGGGAGTGGGAATCCTGACTAAAACTGTCCAGGGAAACCATCCCTCCACAGGTGGTAACTGCTTGTAGCCTTAGCATCCATTTCTGAACACCCCTGAAGTTTGTTAGGGTCTCATCACTTCCTGCATTCTCTCCTCATCCTCCTGGCTCTCTCTCCATCCCCAGCATGGCTACATGGGGCTAATGACGTTGAGTGGTGCCTGAAGGATGCTGAGATGCAGTGGATGACCAGGCAGAACGTCGTCCTCAGAGATGTCATCACTGTGACAGCGAGAACTCTGTAAATGTCTAGATGAGATCCAGGATGGGTGGCCATGTCCAGGAGGTCCCAGGGAGATACCAGATCAGAGCAAAGAGCAGGTAGACGCTGCTCAAGAAGGAAGAGGAGAAGGAAGAGGAACATGTCAGAAGGGCCTCTATGAGCCCGGGGCTGGGCCAGGGGCATATGGGTACAAGAAGCAAGAGAATGAGGTCCTACTGAGAGGTGACCTCATATGACTATCACTAAGCGTGGAAGGACGGGTGAGGAGAGACAGGGCCAGAGGAGACCACAGGGTCCAGGTGTCAAACACACCAGAAATCAGAGAAGACAAAGGCCAGGATAAGTCTAACTTATCCTTCAGCCCTCTGCCACACTGAGATTGTTTCATGCTCAAAAATGCTTCCTTCACGTGGCTCTCAGGAACCCACACCCCCACGTCCTCCCTGCCTCTCTGCGGCTCCCCACTAGTCCCCGATGCTAACCCTCTGTACCCAGGTTCGATTCATGGTCCTCTCCCACGCCATGCCACACTTGACCTGTAGACCTGCCCTGCCCATGCTGTCATGTCCAGCCCAGGTCTGGACCCCACACCACACACCTCCAAGCAATTTTTTTTATCTGTTCTAGAAGGTATCGCAGTCTCCCTGTGCCAGGAGCCCACCTGACACTCATATACAGTGAAGGGTGTCTCTGTCCTTCCCTATGCTCAAGCCACAGGACCTGAAGGTACCATGTGACTCCATTTCTTCGCCACTTCAAATCCAGCTTCATAGCAAATGCCCTCCCTCTGAGCTCTATGCAGATCTGAGAGTGCCACCATCTTCAATACTCAGCTCACTGTTGCCCTGAGGTGACACTTGCCATTGCCCTGCTGACCCAGACAGTGTAGACAGAGGAGGAAGGATAGGTCCCCTTTGCTCCCTGTCTGCTGAAGCTGGACTGCCAATGTCCTCCTTCCCAGAATCGTTTTGCTCTTTGCTTCTGCAGCCATTTTATGACCTGAGTCACACCACAGGGTGCTCTGGGTCTCAGGTGCCATACAGCAGACCATGGGACCTCTCAGCCTCCACAAGGTTACAAGCCAAGTCCTCATTTTACACATATGCTTTTATTGAATCCACACTGTGTTGATTGGTGGTCTCCATAGAAACAGGGTCAATAGAAGTTGCATATTCACGGGGGGCATGCCCTCCATGTTTGTGGGATCCATATCTGTGGAGACGACAAAATGTGAAGTGAAATTTCATTTGTACTGAACACGTTCTGACTTTTTAATTCCCTAAACAGTAGAAGAGAATTGCTGTTCCCATACCTTTACCCTATCTCAAATATTGAGAGTCACTCAGTGATGATGCAAAGTCCATGGAAAGATGGCCCAGGTTCTGCCCAAGTACTTCAGAGGTTTATGTAACTTCAGCATCAGAGGACCTTGAAATTTAAGGAATCTTGACACCAGTATCCTGTGGACACAGAGGACTTCTGTATCAAATTAGTTCTATTTCTCTTAACAGCGTTGACGAGTGTGTGTGTGTGTGTGTGTGTGTGTGTGTGTGTGTGTGTGTGTGTGTGCCTGTTCACTAGGGGAAGGGGTGCAAGGGTGCACATGTGTATATGCATGTAAAGGCCAGAGGTCTCAGCCACGTGTCCTCCCCGCCACCCTCCACCTTCCTTATTCGCTGAGTCAGTCCTTCACTGAACCTGGAGCTCACTTATGGTCCACACTGGCTGGTCAGTGAGCCCCAGGGATCCACTGCCCCCAGTTTGTATGCAGGTGCTGGGGCCTCATGCTTGCACAACAAGCTCTTTCACAACTGAGCCATCTTCCAAGACCTGAAAACTCGTTTCCTTTAATGAGCGAAGGACTTGAAAAAGCATTCGCAAAGTGGTAGATGAACATGAAAATGTTGGTCATTCCGGAAATGAGAGTTTAAGACTCCCATGCCACCAGTAAAATCAAAAGGTCTGATGATTCTAGGCCTTGAGGGTTGAAACAGATTAAGGGAGACTCACTTTCTGAGGGAGTGTGAAGTCCATACAGTTCCTGAGTGGTTCCCTGGCTATGCCTTCTGAAGTGGAACATTCCCATCTAGGAAGCACCCACATAGTGAGAGTACCGTAGACATGTCTGTACTGTAGACAGCAAGCATCTTTTGGTTCTGAGTCCAGAGGAAAGCTTGCAAACAGTGTGTTTTCACACAACTAAACACGGCAGTAAAGAACAATAAACTTCTATCCCAATGAGCCCACGAACCTCACAAACACGCTCTGAGCACAAGAAGCCAGGATCCATGCTGCACAATTTGACTAATGTGACAGTCAAAGCTGGGCAGTCTCATCTACAGGGTCAGAACAGTGCTGCTAGGCATCCAAACCCCATCTCCTGCCTGGATGGTGGTTTCAGGAGCATGCTTACACTCATGGCTTTAAATGCATCAGGCTGAACAGTTTTGTGAACTTGATCTACACATTTTTTTATCCAATAAAAAGCCAACTGAGTAAAACACACGTGCATGAAAATGCCCGTGTTCCCTTAGAAGTACAGCAGTAGCATGTGCGACACAGCTCTGAGTCCACAGCGTAGACCAGAGACGGGTGACCTCACCTGCGGTAGCTGACACCACTCTGTCAAATATCCTCTCTGCTTCTGAACCTCATGAATCTGTTTCCAATATTCTTCAATTCATCATCCCTGGTTCCTCGGAGACTAGAGAACTAAAGGCCTCAGAAGAGTCTTAGCATGCCATTCTTGGCTTTGGAAACACACAATATTCCCCCCAAAAGTCAGATACAGAAAGTAAACTTCGTCCCCTAAGGATGACTCTGACTTTGGGCTCTCTGCTCTGGAGCATAAGAAGATGAGTCATGCTTAAGATCAGTTCAACGCCTATGCAACAAAAACACAGTCATGCCAGCTACCTGCTTTCTGCAGCTCTCCCACAGGGGACTCCCAGAGCCTGCTGGGGAGGCAGCCCCAGATGAGAAGCTGTAAGGTGGCAAAGAACAGCCACCCATGGGTCTCCAACATCTCCTCTCCACCAGGCTGGGTACCTGGGCCCCCCAACCATGTCCTTTTTCCTGGAAAATTCCCACCTACCACAGACCATCTTGGCAGTCCCCTAGGCTGCACTTGAGAGCCATTGAAGATCATGTCCTGTGCCAGAGACCCCTCTATCTGGTGCCTAGCCTTCCCTGCACTCCTAAGCATAGAGCCCAGTCCTCTGTGGGTGTCATGGAGGCCCCTCTCCTTAGGCCCAGCACCCTGCTTACACCATGCCCACAGGTAAGTCCTATGCTAGCCATGGATGAACCTGATGCCCACAATTGGTAATGCCCTCAAATACTGCCTCCCCATCTGAGATCTGCTTCCATGCACCTGGAAGGCAATCCTTACCCACTGGTTGCTCAGTGAATGAGTTAGTTAGTGATGTGCTGGCGAATGCCTCATTCTCAGCGAGAGCCAGGCTGGCTTGCAGCAACTGCTCATCAAGGTAGAAACCTCTGCACAGTGGCAGATTCTAAACCATCCTGTGGAACAGCAAGAGATATACATCCGTATGCTCTGGAGCCTGCAATGGCTTAGCATGCGTGGAGGTCACTGTTGATGTTGATGGCAAGAAGTCAGTAGCATACTGCCTTCTGCACCTGCTGCTTCTCCCGGTCCACACTTGTCAGGTCCCTTCAGCTGCTAATATTTTTGTTTCAGTCACCCATGCAATGCTGCTGCTGTTTAGCACATATATGTCTGCATGAACACACACTCGGGCTCCTAGGGAGAGTCAGGATGTCTCAGTGTTTCCAGCCACACATGCACTTGAGTTCCTGCTGCCATCTATCCTGGCTTCCCAGCCTTCTCTGCAGAATTAGGAAATATAAAAGTTTGAAAAGAAATACGAGTCCCGAGATGTACACCCCACCCAAACTTGGCATTGAGGATGCTTAGCTGTTTCTCTAACTGAATCTCTTGTCTTCCACATCTATGTTCTCAATCCCTGACCACGGAAGCACACTTTTGCACAGTTCTACACCACAAATATAAACACATGCTTATGCATGGTTGCTGAAACAATAGCATATTACTACTGAGAACCACACAGAAGGTTTCTAAGTTTTGCCTTGCACAGAACTGTCAAATCCTGGGCAGTCACGGTAGACAGGTAGATGTCATCCCTGGATTTGATGAGACTATTTGGGTTTGAGGCATGTCTGAATGTTGACTAATAACCTCTGAGTTACCAACCCTGCATCAGGAGAGTGCTGACTCACTCTCCTTACAGTAGCTGAGTCACGAAACCTCCCGTGGCTGCACAGTAGATCTGAAAATGACTCACGTACTGCTGAGTCATGATGTCCCCAGTCCCAGAACCTCAGACCTGAAAGTTCCAGAAGTCATATCCACTGGAGAGAGCCATGCAGGGGCCTTCAGCTTGGAGTGGCCCCACCTTCTCCTATGGCCTTCACGAACGCTGTGGGCCTGGGAAGACTTGGGGACATCCAGGCTCCTCTTCAGCCTCTGGGGCCTGAGGCACTGTGCTCACTGGAATTGTATAAGCAGAGATTCTGTCAGGCCAGGAAAGGATGGGATGTTGGGAGAGATTTAGCCAGACGTCCAGGGGCAACTGAGGAGTATCACAGTACTCACCCAGCAGTAGCCAACTGGCACATACCATACCAGGTTCCTGGACCCCTGATTGAAAGCTACACTCAGCTCACCTCTCTTTGCAGACCCCCTACCCAGCACACAGGCAGGGCCTCCCCATGGTTTTCCTCAGCCATGAAGAGACATGTGCAAAGGCAGCCAGACCTGCAGACCTTCCCCAAACACCACACCCTCCCTAGCCAGGACCGACAAGGCCTATCCAAGACACCACCTAACAAGTTGAGACTTTCTGCCTCCTCAGCAGTACGGGAGGCTGAGGCTCACAGAAGCGCCCACCACCACAGCACCTGACAGGAACATCAATTATGGAGTCAACCATTACCATTGGTCGGCCCAGCTCAGAACAAAGTGTCCAGAGGAACTGCCACTGAGCCTTAGAAAAAGACACTGGGGAGTGGGGGGAGGCTCACTGAACCATGAGAAGCAGAAAGAGTGCCAGACAGGTATGTACGGCAGGACCCATGGCCCGCAAGTGACTGCCAAGCCTCAGGTTTGGGAAAGGACTTTAGAGATCAGGCTTCCCTGACTCTGGGCAGCAAGAGTGGAGGCTGGAAATAGGCTAAGACCACTTCAGGGCACACACTGGTGATCGAAGCTGGGGTATGGGCCAGGGTGGAGCTCAAACTGTGACTGGGCCACTGGACAATAGGCTGGAGATGAATATGGAGAGGGCAATAAAACCTTGTTCTGCTTTCTGGCCCTGGCAGCTGCTGGTGGGACAAACAGAGATGCCCCAGAGACAGGAGGCTTGAAATGACTCTGCAGGGATTAATGGCCCTGAGGGGCTTCTGAAGGGAGATTCCAGGGACCACTAGTGTGTGGAGCTGGCAGAGGAGTCTTTAATACCAGGTTGCTTCTGTGGCACTGGGGGCAATGAGAGAGGCAAGGCACACACAGGAAGGAGATCTTCAAGTAGCCAAGGCTACCCAGGGCCAAACTGGGCCACCTGTAGGCTGTGGACTATAGAGCAGCAGAAGCCTCATAGTGCTGTCTGAGCTGGTCAGGAATGGGGTTTCTCAGGCCCCTAGGAGTTCCAACCTCCCTAACCACACTAATTAAAGTCCCTCAGCCCAGGATGCTGTCTCCCTCAACGGATGGTAGATGGGTTACCCTAGACCATAGATAAGTGACAGACCAGAAGTGGACAGCTGACCCTGCGCATCCCACACTGAAAAGCAAGTGACCACAAGGGATGGTGGAGATCAGCAGGTCCATCTTCTGTCTCTGATGCCCTTATCTGTGGTATCAAGCTGAGTTGTGGCAGAGAACGAGCCAAGACTTGTCTTCTGGAAAAAGCTCTGGTCAGCCCCAGAGAAGTTTCCCAAGTGTATCCAAGCCTAGACCAGTTTCATAGTAAGAAAGAGCCCACAGGCTGGGGAAGTATCATGCCAGAGAAACTCTACCAGGAAGACGAAACCATCCTCCTCCAGTGTCCAGGACAAACCTTAAGTCTGTCTTAAACCTGAGGGGACTTCCAGAAGCTTCATCTGACTGCAACAATCCTGAGAAACCTATGAAGTATCCAGAACTTTGCTCATGGCACTCACCTGACCAGAAGCCATGGCTGAGTTAGTCACAAATACCTCCAGGACAGTATCTACAAAATGAGAAACTGATGTGTATCAAGTAAAAAGGGTGCAACATTTGATCACATGGCCTTCCAGCTTTCTGTATCAGAGGGAAGCAGCTATCTTATATACAACACATTTGATCCTGGTACTTGGTCTTGGATGTCCTGATCAGACCTGAGTATCTGAGTACCAGCTACAGAGCAGGAGGCCTCCATCTCTGAACCCTATTAGACATGAAAGAGTTGAATATTCCCAGGTAGACCAGTT